AATGTGGTGCTTACTGTAGCCAAAATACAAATTACAGCATATAATGGATTTAGTGTTTTAAAATCTTGAAATTGAGACCATTAATTGTCCAATCGTGCTATTTATGGGTCTAAACATGTCAAAATATATTTTTCAAAATCGATCACAAGGAAAGGTCAGTGTACAGATTTGTCAAATCTGAGAAATCACGTGTTCTGTTATACACTGTGCGCTCAGAGGACAATAGATGTCTGTAATCCAAGCCAGGGTTTGCATGCCGTCAGAAATTGAAATCGGAGCGGTTTATACTCATCGTCAGAACCGGATATTGAACCATTGCCTGAAATTCACTTCCAGGTTCTATGCCCCTAACCTCTGGCACTCCCTCCATCTGTGCCTCCACTTTGCCCTCTCTCTGTCTAAGTCCTGCCTTAAAACCTACCTCTTCGAACATGTCTATGGTCAGCTTCCCATTTTCTTCTTGTCATTGTCTTCTTTATAAAGTGTTCCGAGACATTACCCTACATGAATGGCACTATATAATAAAGTTGTTGTTGTAATCCTATTTGCATTTATAGTGTAAATCAGAGAGTGATGTTTTTATGGCCTTCGATGCAGAATGTTCCGATGGAATTTTTGCTCCAGGATTTTGTTTTAGCAAGGTCATATCACTGGGAATTGAGGGAACAAAATCCCATTGTATCAAGGTAATAGATGGCGTTAGTCTCTGTAGGAACAAAGAATACCTTATTGTTGTGAAGTGTAGTTTGTGTCTCTGGTTGTTTTATATCTTGGTCATTGCAAAACCTTATAGACCCAGAGGATGAATGGATCATGTCATCAGTCACTGAAAATATTTGCTTGCGAATAATGTCAATAATAGCTTTTGATATAGTTCCTTATGTTAAAATATCTCAAAGTGCTAGTTTCTGAGGATTTCACTTTGAAATGTAGTGACCGTGTATTTTGTAGAGGAATGCAGCAGACAATTCCCACACTGCAGTTAGTCAAGAAGTAAATCTGGAGATTTTTTTTAAATCTGGAGAATTGTTAGCCAGAACACTGGGGGAAACTCCCTTCCTGAAAAGGGAAATAAAGCCTTGTTTTAAAATCTCTCCCAAAGGATAACACCTCTGATAATACAGCAGCCCCCTTCCCACCCCCAGCACTACAGTCGGGTGTAAAACTATAAACTCAAAATCCGAAATGGGGCTTGAACCCACAACCTTCTGATTCAGAGGCAAGAGAACTACCAACTCAGTCAAGTTGACACCCTTTGAAGTTTTCTATGAAAGTCTCCAAATGGGGTCTATTACAATCTCAATGTTAGAAGAGCCCGTTCTATTACACTTGTGTACATTTTTTCACTGTTCACAGTTGTAGTGTTCACTTACAAAATACACAGTCACTACACTTAGCAACATATCCGGTGAAGCACTTTGAGACCAGTTTGTCCAGATCGGTTTCGAATGCAGGATGCAGGGCTTTCAGAGCAATGGGTAGAACGTGACTATTTTCAGTATATTTATTAACCAAAATGCCAACTACTATTTGTGACCAAAAAGAAGCTTAAACATTGCCTTTGTTTGTTGCTATGCAATCAGTCTAAACTCATAGAAGCTATAAATATATAAAGATCTGAGGCATATCTGTAAAACATGGCCCAAGTTAGCCATATATCCATCCAATCAGTGTCTAGTTTGAATCAGTTTGCAAAAATTAGTTTCTCATTTTAATCTATAATAAATGTGCTCAACAGCTATTACTTCTACAGAATTCAATCGTTTCATTGTCGGTCTTGAAAGCAAAATACTTCCTTCCAGCAGAATGTGTCAATCGTGTAGTGAGCAAATACTGAAAATCTCATCTAAAGCAGGAAAAGTGCTTAATGCCTGAAAGGTAAATTATATCCTCGTGGTGTAAAGCTCCACTCTCCATAAACTAAAAATATCTATGTCTGTGTGGTTTCATAGAGAAATGAGTGAAAGGTGGACTGTATGCTGCCTCTAAGGAAAACCATTATTTCTTTTAATTGAGGATTCATAAGTCATTCCATTTTATCTAGTATCCACACAGTCCTGGGTGCTAATCATGTTTCCACTACAGTATTTTGCAAATCATGATGAAAGCGGGCACATTCTTTTAAACAAGAAAACCTGCTTTGTGGTCTGGCATACTGTATATTTCCGTGTATTACCTTAGGGAAATGGAAAGGTGATGTATCAGTGCTGCATCGTTGAAACCCACCAGGTTTCTTCTTAAGGGAGAAATAAAAATAGGGACATAACCTATTTTAATATAACCCTCCGGCATTTTACATTCTGTGGTTGAGCAGGTAAGGGTGGTGTATGTGTGTTTGTGTGCACAAGTGCTATTGTTATCAGGGTGTAACATTCCCTATTTCTCCCTCTTCTCTATATCCATACTGTCCTCCTTCATGAAAATAGCTGCAGATATGCTATCTCTGGTTCTTATTCAACCCATTAAGAAGGGTAATTGAACATCACACATAAAGTTCCCTTCCTGCCTGTTCTACCTCCCCTGGCTCTCAGAGAAGGATATGCGCCTGGAGCACAATTGTTACCTTACCATAGGGCATCAGGAAATGCAAGGAATCCATGATCACTTTTTTTTATATTAAAGAAAGTCACAAATGTCCTGTAAAGATTGAAACTTGTTTAAAAATTTGACATGGCTCTTTTGCATGCTGCCAGCAACAGTGCCCTATCTTCATTTATTTCCATCTAACCCCTTGCCTCCTCCCTTGGGGCTAATAATCCAAATTATCACCGAGCTAGTGAGGCTGGTATGCAAAAATATAACTTTTGTTTTTTCCCCAATAAGAGTTTTTTTTAGCATTAAACACTGTGCTTTTGGACACTCGTCATTTTGATTTTCTTGGATGACTCATAATTCTGTCCAAACAAAAATAGCAAAATTATAGTTTTGGCCAGCATGAAATAGGCTGAAACACAAACACAAAAAGATGCCGTAAATTGGACTCTTCTGCATTCAAGGGGATTACGGAGTCCATTTGCGGATGTATGATTACAGAGCAACTCACACTGTGCAAACATTTCACAGCTTGTCTACAAGTATGAGTTTCTAAGAATTCTACATCCCTGAAGCAGCTGCGTTGCATTTTATCTGCAAGGCTCGGCCTCCATTTAAAACACCTGCTCTTGTGTACGCACTCGCCCTGCACCTGTCTCTAAGTCCTCTCTCACCAGCTTGTGTGTGATAACCTCTGTAAACACTGAAAAGGTAGTTAAAAACACACTCAACAGTAAGATACCACACCTGCACAAGACACTATTAAAAAAATTGCAGCAAATTGGTTATATTGATGTTCCTGCATTAATACAAAATATTTAGAATTTGAAAGATTTTTTTCGTACAGCACAACTCTTCGGAAGAAGAGTTACCTTCATACATACAACAAACCGATGCAAAATCAGTCATCATGTATGCAGTCTTAGAGGGCAGAAAGTAATATGTGCACTGTTATACTTTTTACAGTATGCTTTTACAGTACAGTTTTTTACAGTAGTGTTATGCTTTTTACAGTAAATGGATAAGGAGATACTGTTTCTTGTAGGCTGTGGAATCCAGAATAAGAGGGCATCATCTAAATATTAGAGCTAGACCAGTTAGCACTGAAAGATGACGAGGACATTGCTTTACTCTGAGAGTTTCGGGGGTTGGTGGAATTCACTGCCCCAAAGGACTGCTAATACAGAATCAGTGGTGAGTACGGGTATCAGGATGAAAGCTAGGGAAATTGTATTGATTTGCAAATCAACCATACAACCTAAAGAAACAGTGAAGCAGGCTAGATGGTCTGAATTGCCTACACCAGTTCCTCAAAACGCATTTCTGATGGCCCAACTGAATTCTGATCAACTTTTTCATGGTTCTCATCTGCTATTAAAAAACATTAAGAAAAATTAAGGTTTACAACAAGAATAACTTGCATTTATATATTACCCTTCATGCAGGCTAGCATCTAGGAGCGCTTAACAATGGCGGAGCCTGACACTGAGCCAAGAGGGAGGAAGTGTCCGTAGGCACAGCCAAAGAGTCTTCAGCCGTGATCTGAAAAGGGGGAAGGAGGGGCAAGGCGTAGTGATTGAGATAGAGAATTCCAAAATTTCGGGGCATAGTGGCTGAAAGCACAGCCTCCAATGGTGAAGTGGAGGGGACGAGGGACAAGCAAGATGCCGGAGTCAGGCGAGCAGAGGCAGCAGATGGTGGGGTGGGAAATAAGCAAGTCGGAGAGGTACGAAGGTAACAAGATGTGAAGGGATTTGTAGACAAGTGTGAGGATCCTGAAGTCATCCATTTTGTTATAGGGAGCCAATGAAGCCTGGTGAGGACTGGTATAAAGGGAGATTTGGAGTTGGGAGCAGGTGAGTTTACGGGTGGCAGAATTCTAAGAAGGTCTAATTTGTGACTCCGATTAAAAGCTCCAAAATTTCAAGGTCACAATTAGCACCTTTATTTTTCCAAAGCTCATTTTAAATACTGCTGTGCTTGCATTTGATATTCTGCTTCATCATGTCAAAACGTCTCACTTAGCTGCCAAGAAACATCTTTGCAGAGTCACTCGCTGCGTGAACGTTCACTTCCACTTTATCTGGGTGAAGTTACACACAAGATATTTGTAGAACCTCACTGTCTTCTCATCAAGCAAATCAAACTTCTCATTCGCAGTGAAGGGATGATTGGGTACATGCGAGTTTAAGGAATGATGGGGCCATTTATAATTTGTCATTTTTGACTTAATTTTTGTGACTGTCAAATCTCTGATGAGGAAAGCTTGGAATAAATGTGGATTGTTGTGAGTATTGCAGTAAATAGTCATGTACAGATGTTATTTAAATAAATATCTCAGTATTAGGTATGGGTGCCTTTCAAATTTTAAAGAAATTATAATCAAATGGATTCAAAGCCATGCCTTATCTGTGCTCAAAATAAAAAAGCTGTTGTATTATACACAATTATAAGCAAGTTCCACCTACCACAGACAAGCCATTGTTCAAGAGTCCACCATCTTGGTCCATAATACTTCTGGATATTGTGATGGAAGGCAGATCCAGGCTTTGTGGTGGAAAATGGGGTGTGAATTCATTTCCCTGCGAGGGCAGTGGATCATTAAGGCCTTGAAAAGCTGACACCACATCTGTTAGTCCCATAGTGGGATCTGTTTCTGGGGGTGGGGTAATGGGTGGAATCTCGAATTCCTCATCCCCAAGGCTTGGAGTGTGGAATGTCTAAAGAGAAGGGAAGAGAGTGGAAACAATCAACATCGGCAAGTACAAGATTTAATGCTCAACTTGTGTAAGGAAGGCCTCAAGGCAGGTTCAATATTTTCTTGTACAATGGAATAGATACAGCAATGCACCTTCACTTAAACACTATTAAAACAGTTAAAAAGTAAAAAAATCCTCATCTCCATCTCTAAAATCTGTACACATCAGGCAACATTGCACACTTGACTGTACCGAGACTTTGCACAGCTCAGTACAAAATCTCTTTATGATATAATGGCTGCTCTTCAAATGGCAAATTATCTATTGGACAAGCAAAATGAGCATGATCCCTTATCAGCCAGGATATAAGTAGGGTTTAAGGGTTTATATCTGGTCCTTTAAATACCTGTTAAAATTATGCCATTCAACAAAATCTCAGGCTATAAAAAGATTTTGAATGTTCAAGTTGTATGACTAACTTTTCATTCTCGTGGTTAGCTTAATTATTATTATCTCTGCTCAACGGCACTTTGTAAATTAACTCAACATATATCAGTGATCCCACTCAGGAATCTTACAGTGCAATATTGAATTGCAAGTGCAAATGTGAAATTCACAGTTTGGATGTTGTGGCAGATTGACAGAGATAGCAGGTGACTGCTTTGGAGGATGGGTGATGGCTGTTGGGTGACCCATATTTTACCTGCACTGATTACCAATGCTGATGTATGATTGCAGCTGCTCCTTATGCACTCAAATGCAAACTCTGTTGTCATGCCATACACTGCTGGGTCTGGTCACTTGAGTTCACAACTGCTGAAAGGTGCTTGTTATTCGCAAAGCGCTGATGCAAGAGATGATGCTATGGCATTAAAAAAATCCTTCTGACAATGCACATGCAGGAAGAGGGAGGGGGGAAATCTGTGCAAAGATTTGCAAGACTAAAAACAACAGATGGTAGACCCGGCAAACGAAACATATTTACTCTCGAATTACTGCGAGAAAATCATTGCTATAATTCTGGCTAAAATAGGCTGAAATAGTCAAGGTCAGTAAAAGGTCACATACATTTGCACAAAGTATTCCCTGTCCAGATTGTTTAGAATAATTGAGATAGCTGGACTGACGAACAGTGCAATGCAACTTTCGGTTTCCTGCTTTTAAACAGACCGGAATTTTGTTCCAACTTTCATAAGCACTTGCAAGTCGCGCTCTTCTGTTTGGCACTCCATTAGGTGGTAATGGTCTTATGTTCTTGAAATAGAACAAAAGGATTCTCATGCAATTCCAGTTCGATCAGCTGCTTTTTGTGCAGTCCTTACGGTATCATTGGGTAATTCTCATTTTGTTGTAAGTGCATCCCAGTTAATGAAATAGCTCATCAGCTGCTAAACATAGTCAACACTCAAATTGTTGCTGATAATGTGAAAATAATAGCTGCATGAAAAGTGGTAATAACTCAGCCATTGGAAACAAAGAGAGAGAGCTTAGGATGCATACAGGATCTGTCAGCCGTCATTATTTCTACATATCAAATATGATAAGGTACCAGACTGATAGTGTCTGGAACACACTATAAATATCAGTCCGGAATAACATCTATTAGTGTCACTTCTGATAAAAACTGCTCGGCTTGTTCAAATCTGCATCTTACAAATGTTGCAGTGATTAAAATTTAATTGCTCTAAATTAGTAATGCAGACACAAGGGTCATGTACCTTAGACATTCACTTATGATAGCTGTAAACCAACTATTCAAATGTATCTTGTTGATACAAGAATGGCAATTATTGTTTTACAGCAAATTAGCATAATACAATGATTGTGTGATGCCAGGTTTTTTGAAATGCTCTTGTGTATTAAAATGAACTAAAAGGTTGATTTAACCTGGTACTCAGAAACAAATGGCCCTGCAATCAGCATTCATCAGAAAATAAACGTACTGTACAGCCTTTTATAGATATCACATTGAAATTTGTGGCTGCATCGGATTCTTTGTGGATAATGTATTTGGCTCTTTATATGAATTAAAGTAAAACATTATTACTGTAGGGAGCATTAATAATCCTTCACAATTATAGAAGCTAACTTACTTACTGGGAATGTCATAAACTAGGTTATAATCGGCAGTGGGTCACCAGGAAATAATATGGTCACCACATGGTAATATTTGTAATGGGAATAAACACAAGTACATAGTTCAGGGTGCAAGTGTCTTTCAGACACCAGGTATGTTTGGGAATGAGGCAAAGATGAATGTTGAAACCCTACTGCCCTTCTAATTGGAGGCCTAAATAAAGAACTATGGCCCATAGTGCAATACATCACCATGGCTGAAAAGAGACAAATCAAGAAGAAGTGATTGAAAGATAACATGTTTGGGTTTTTAAAGTGGTCTGAGGGTACGAGGAAAGCGAGTACGAATGCAATAAGGTATTCCACTCTGCTGAGATCCTGGAATAGAATGAGGTAGAGAAGGAGACAATTGCTGAGCTTGGATTCCAATGTTGAAGATTGTGAAGAACAAGATAATAAAGTTTTGGAGAAGTGTCATAATTCAATTTGAGATTACAAAGAAGATAGCGATTCCTAGAATGTCGATAGATGGAAGATGATAACATAAACCATTATAGTATAGCACAAAAATAGACTATTCAGCAAAATTAGTCCACACCAGTGTTCATACTCCATGTGAGCCTCGACCCCTCCCAATTCCCCCTTTCTCCTATAGCCTTCAAATCACCCCTCCTTCATGCATGCATTAAATTACTTTTCAAATTTGTTGAAGCTTTTTGCTTCAATTGCAGCTTCTAGCAGTCAGTTCCACATTGTCACCACCCTCTGCATGAAGATGTTCCTCCCAACCTCCTTCTTAGATCTGCTTTTTGCATCTTATATTTATGAGACAAAGAGGAGAACCATCAAAGGTAAAATATAGAACCGTTGCTGGTTGTTAAATTTGCAACCAACAGAAAAAAACATGTTTGCGAATGAAAGAAGCAAGAATATCATTACTCTGTCAAAAACAACATGATGGAAATCAAGATTTGGTGATTCAGCCATTACACTGGTGAGGAGTGAGTGCTGCATCATCTAAAGGGGTGGCAATGTATGATAACATACAATAAATATACAATTTAATTTTCACATCTACAAAACATCTCAGAAGGCTTCATAGAATTTATTGGCGAGAGTGAAGGAAGTTGATAAATCTCGAGTGGAACCTTCAGCTAAAGAGTGGGTAGTGATGGATCATGAATAAAGTGACCAGTTATGTGGAGAAGAACTGTTGAGTTGATTCAGAAGGAGTCAGAGAATAAACTATCAAGAACACAGAAACAGGGTCTTCCATTCATGGTGTGGATATAGGGTATTCCATTCATAGTTGCTCTGGAGCATCTCAAGATATTTCAACAGCATCAAATGTTAGGAGTATTAATATTGTGATAACATTGGTCAGATACAAAATAATAATATGCCTTGCATCTGAGAGGAAACCAGAGAGTGAAGGACACTACCTTGGTGGAAGACCATTAAATGGAAACTTCTTTCAAAGTGCAGTTAAAGGCTTGTCCTTACATATGTCCACTGATAAAATATTCAAGGATTATCCAAACCTCTAAGGACAGAGCTAAATGGTTTTCAAACAGAATAGTAACGGTCACACCATGAATGGAAGACCCTATATCCAGGGGCAGATGGAGGACATGATTACAATTCTAAGAAATTCAATGTTGTGAGTGAACATATCAGGGGCTTTCCAGTGTTCTGATATCATGAGATCTTTCTGATAAAAACATAACTCGTGAGAGTTTCAAGGCAGTCTGTCTTTCAGGACTGAACTTCAATTCAATCCTTGTGAAGGAAACCTTATTCCAGCATCAATTGGAGTACTCTAAAGTTAGATATAGTAACGGTAGGCATTTCAACAGCATGATAAATCGCAATATCAAATGTAAGAATGATTAATATTATTATAGCATTGGTAAGATACAAACTAATAATTTTACTTGCATTTGATAGCTAATATTGAAAATAAAGCTACCTCCAATCCTACACAAATAATATGCATTAACGTCAAGGAGCAATACAAACTGCACTGGTGTTACTGTTTTCAGTTCCATCACTAAACAATATAGTGGTCTCTCAGTCAAGTTGCCAAGTTGTGTTGCATTCAAGGCAAAGTGTGCTGTGGGTCCATTGCCATTTAACAAGTGAGATTATTCAAACATAATTCAGTTAACAGCTATAACTGGCATAGGTAGGTTCAAGCTCATGTCCTAGAGGTGAAAGAATGTGGTGTTAGCCCACTGAGTCACCCACTGAGTATGGGAGATCCATTAGGTCCTAACCAGTCATCCACAAGACCTCTCTCCTGCATGACGGGCAGTGAAGCCACATGCAGCCACACTCCCAAACAAGGAATGAAGAAACCACTGAACTTATACTTCAAGGAAACAATCCCCATTTTATATTAAATATTTTATATTAAATGTCTACGCTATTATAAATACAGAATGTAATCCACTGTGAAGTAGCCACTTCCTTCAACTCCATATCCTCGGAAGTTACTCCATGTTTCAAAGCCATTCTTTTCAGCTTTGATTCTTTTGTTTCGTACCCACCAGAAGTCCAGTTGTCAATAGATGATATTGAGCGAGCCGCCCCAAACCAGGATGTGCAAAGCTTGCCAGAATTGATGAGAAACATAACTTCAAACTTAGCTGCAACTCTCTCCAAACAAAGAAACCTATCTTGCTCCCAGAGCAGATAGTGTAGTAAACCCTCAACTCCCAACTCAATAACAAGGCACCCTCACTTAATGGATATATTGAAGCAATTACGATACACTCTGGCATTGGAAGTGACTATAAACTGTAGATACAAATGCGCTTTTAACCTCCTGCCAAAATATCAACACTCAGCTTTCACGCACAAGCTTCTGTTTATTTTATGGGTCATTGTGAACACATACATCCGTCGTATAATAGACTTTGTTATTTGGTAACCGATGGCAATTACATGTTTTTTTCTACCTTACATAATTTACTGACAATCCTGCAGCCTAAGATCCTGGTAACCAACATCACACAGAGATATTTTAGTTGTCAGCGCATAATTTCGCATTTGATGAACCTTTTACTGAACCAGCCACTGACAGTGGTATAATATTGCGCACACTTGATGTGCCTGGCCAGACTGATCAACAGAAATGTAGTAGTGCTGATGCTGCAAGAAAATGTTTCAATTTATTTAAAATTTATTTTAAGCCTTACAATAATAATAATCCTTGCATTTGATGTAGCGCTTTATCACATCTTCGAGACTTCTCAAAGCGCTTCACAGAATATACTGTAAAGTGAATTGACTGTATATTTTGTGGACGATAAAGCCGTTGTTAGGTTAGTAATGGATCTCCAGCATATAATGGCTTTAAAATGTAATCTTCAGTGAGCTGATGTACTTTCAGAGTGACCTTGTGTATCATTGAGCAAGATACCAAATTCAACCTGGAAATGGTGCCATTTTAGGAGGGTTAAAATGTCGGACAGTAAATATTTAAAATACATTCATTGCTGACAGAACGAAAAGGAAAGAAATTTTTGCTCCCCACTAAATCTTTAGATGGAAATAATAGGATTTATTCACACCACCAATTTGGAAATGGCTATAAGATGTCTACTGCACTTTTTAAAAAATTACACATTCATCCTTATGTAAAATTGAAAGGCTTCTATTAACTGAATCCAAAAATTCATCAATTCAAAAATCCAGATAATATTGATTGCTGGAGTGAGGTGGCCCAGCCTTGTGTATTTCACTGTATTTACTATAACCACTGTATTTCTATGTAAGTTCAATTAAATTGTTTTAAGACTTAAAGGTACTAATCTGAACACTTAAATTATAAAACTTTCCTTTCAAATCTGAGACAGGGATGTGTGGGAATAAAGCACTAAATGTCTCGCATAATAAATGATCACAGCTGGAATTGGATGGTTTCTGAACAGCTGCTGAAAGACAAGCTTTGATAAGTGTTTAGTAATTCCAATGTACAAAAGCTATAGAATTGAGAAGCATCATGTTGCTCTTTACAGATGGGATCTGGACATTATAACGAAGAGTTCTGGGATCTAAGCCAAACTAGGTCTTTTGTTTTCAGCAATTTGAGCTGTACTAGCAGATACTAGCAATCTTAGCAATGAATCATAGCTTTTTGATTATTATAACAATGGATTGGTTATATCAGCGACTGAAGTATAAATCTCAGTGCTGATATTGCTATCGCGATGTGATGGCCTGAAATCATCCCAAGACTCTTGTCTATTTCCAAGGGCAATATTCCACATAGCAAATGTGTTTAACTGTTTTCTTTAATCCTGAGAAACATCTTTCATCACAAAAATCATCAATGATATAAAATCCCTTTCATAACTTCTGTGGATACAAACGGTTTGTCCAGTGCAGAGAGCACAGCATCCTTTTCATGCAAAGACTTTTTTCCCCTGTAAAACTGGTGACACAATTGCTTGATATAAGCGTCTCATTACATGAGATGTAAGCATCTCATCAAAATAGCAGCACTAGTTAAACTAGGTCATACATCAATGATGTGGCCCTCTCTAACAAGAATTGTCAGTTCTAACGTGTTTTTAAACTGAAGTTTCACAGTACAATTAAGCAGGTGTAGTATTCACTCTAAATGATCATGTACCTAATCCAACTAGGATTCTCATTGAAGCACAGGGACAAATACATTGCTTTTCTAGAATTTACGAGTCAAGTCCAATTTTAGCTACTAGAAAAGCATATTTCAGATCCAACCTTAAAATTATACTGATCATACATACAGGCAAATCTCTTCAGGCAACTACCTCCATTCAACGACCAAACCCTATTAAGAATCACCCTGGAACAGCCTGAACAGATTTTGCATAATGAACCACCTCTGTTCAACAACCACTCATCTAATACAACCAGTGGCCACTCTTTGTTAGTCCTTTTATACTCTGTGCTTTCATACCAACACCCTTTTCAGAGGCCAAGCTTTTTGAGAAACAAGTCAGAAAATAGCGAGCAGCCACCAGAAAATGATTAGCGACTTCTTCAGTAAACGGTAGCAACTTGTGATTGCAATTTAATTATTTGTAATGTTTAATTTATTTATTAATAATTTATTAAAATTAACTTAATTTATGGGTGTGTAGGTGCACTGAATTTTTTTTCCCACTTAGAATTCTACACACACACCAATGAATTCTTACTCAGAAGCCACCCTTGTAAAAAGGCCACTTTGGTTACACTCTTAAGCATGGTGAAGAGTTTCCACATGACAGTCACCCGGGTGGCTTCTAATCAGTTGCTGAAGACAGGTTTGACTGTATGCTGCGCGCAATTGGCTGCCGCGTTTCACCCACAAAATATACAGTCAATTCACTTTACAGGATATCCTGTGAAGTGCTTTGAGACGTCTCAAAGATGTGATAAGGCGCTATATCAAATGCAAGGATTATTATTAAACACACTGAATGCGGTGCATTTTCAGTCACAACACACCCAATTGCTTCTTCTCCCCAACACTAAGAACGACTAGTACAAGTGCAGATTTTCTATAATGTGTTTTGATTCAGTGCAGCACAGTGAAGAGCAATAATTGCATGAAGAGCAATAATTACAACCTTGTTTCTTAACCTCAGCCCAACAAATTTTTATTTCAGCATTTAGTAGGTTTTCCTTGATCGTGATTTTATGAAATCAAACTGCAAATAGGGCCTTTACCAGTATTCAATTTTTATAATACTTTGTTGTAAGTTTAGCATTCTGGTCACAGTATTTTTCAAGCTTAGTATTGTGAGGTTTTACTGCAAAATAACAGTTTTATATGCAAGGAAAAGGATGAAATGAATAGCTCGCTTAGACTCTGTGTGGCTTCTGCATTGGGCAAACCATTTTTAATAAACAATATATATTAGCTTCTGAAAGTCAAATTGACTCTTAACATGGGTGGTATTTAATGCATAGTGACATTAGCATTTAGTTAAATACTGCATAAAAATATCAATTACAACAGTGTGACATGATTTTTTTAATACACTATTTTGGCTGAAGGCAAAATTGCTGAATGGCATAAATGATATTGCCATGCAAGACAATACAAAGGACAACACTAAACTAATTATACACAGTAATTTTATCCATCTACATCGCAGACAATGTATAAGACTATATTGAGGAGAAATTCCACCTGGGTCTAGATGTAGTCTATTTATGTAATAATGTAAAGCAACAATCCTTTGGTAAATTCTTAGATATTTTTTCTTTTGAAGCCTTTTTGCCTTTTATGAATGACAAAAAAACGGCTCAAAATGGACACTCACAATGCTACACAGAGTACATCTAGACTCAAATGGAATTTCTCTCCATGTATTCTTTAACTCATTGGATGAAAAGACAATGCACATTGATAAAGATCTGAAAGACACAGGATCAGTAATATACTTGCCTCAGTGCTGGTCAAAAAAGCGTGGCTTGGGTCTGTCATGTTCATGTAGTTATTGTTGCCTGCAAACTGGGGGAGGGGAAGAAAAGAAAAGCACATTAGGTTTTATAATTCCTTGCAAATTCGATGTGGAGATTAGAATGTGACAATGAGATCAACGGCTCCTTGGAACAAACTAATTATTGTCCATTGCAGTCCAGGAGAGTTGGCTTTAGCTTGGATCAGAAAATATACAGAGGTTCATAAAATGCTATTGAAAAAGTAAACCCAGAACAATACTTTAGGCTGAACCAAAAAGGTAGAACAGGGGGACATGGGTTTAGAGTTGCAAAGGGAAATTTCAAGTTGGGAGAAAGAATTACGAAAGGTAGCGGCTCTTATGGTGTATATAGACCACATGGACTTGTTAGCTCAATCACCTTTTCCATGCTGGAACAGTCTACTTATCCTTAGATCTAATCCTTCAGTAATATCAAATTTACCATCTCCCATGACAGCACAAAACAGCTTCTTAAATGAGTCTAATGTCCTGGTTTCAACCACCTTCCTCATAAAGCATTCCAGCTTTATTGGAAAAGAAATACTTCCTGGTCAGGTTGTAAAAAAGCCTTTTAGAACCATTTGCCTCTTTTCCTGTTGCTCTGGTGTACAGTACATCTCATGGCCCATTTAATTCCACTATATTCACACTCAGAATCATTGTGCAAAATTAAATGAGCCGCATGAATTAGATAAATTAACTTTTAGCTTTACTGTAATAAAGTAGACAAGCACAATCCATTGCAATCGTATTAAAATACAGGACTGTGAACCAAGAGTTGAGCTTAAACAAAAGCGGGTGAAAAAAACAGTTCTACAGCATTTGAAAGTAATGTTCTGAGTGTACTTTTTCTATCCCATTAAGTATCATAAACATCCCTTTAAAGTCACTTCTGAGATGCCTTTTGTGACAGTAAAGAGTGCATTTATCTAGTTGTTCCTTATTGCTCATCCTTCTAATATTAGGAATTAACCTGGTTCCACTATTCTGCTCTCTCCCTGCAGTCTCAATGGCTCCCTTATGTTGTAGCAACCAGAAGTGTACACATTGCTGTAACTGTGGTCTGGCCAGGCACTGCACAGGGATTTCTGCTCATCCTTCTCTAATTGTGATGTCTATATTGCAAACTAACAGCGACATACTGCACAGCACTTTGGATAATAACTGGACTTGTGGCAGTGAATACTCAATAACAATTATACTGAAGTGGTCTTTGGCGTCAAAATTGGTTCCCGTTTATGACAATTTAAGTTTCATCAGTGTAAAAAATTAAGCTGCTGCTAATAATGTACCATAAAATTCAACGCATAAATCACAACCCCAGACAGTTTTTTTTAAATGATATGTGAATGTGGGGTGTGGCTTACACACACGCGTGTGAGGATATGAGTGACAGCACAAGTCACTGGTGTAAAGTTTGTACGTTATTTTTAAAACAGTGGCAAAACTGTTAAACCTGTTGGTGGGTGTAAATCTGCATATGAATTGGAACAGAGTAACTTCAGGATTGCATTAATGAATATTTGTGGAGTGTAATGCAATACACATATACACATATTATTGTGCGAAAACAAAAAGACACACAATGCACCTATGTATTTTCAATTGAAGACTGAGGGAAGATGCAACCTTTAACATACTCTGTAACAATTCAGCACAAAACTCCCTAATGGCCTGAAGAGGGTAAAGGCTTTGCCTTTTGTAGCTGTAAGCCATACAAACCAAAAGGTTATCAGTTCCATTCCCAGTCTGTGCTGCATTTATTGATCTCATTTGGCTCAGCTCTATTAGCCAATTTATAGAAAATTCAATAAATTAATGCTGCATTGTAGAATTGGATAATGCTAAGCTAATAGTTTTACAACAAGAATTAGCACCTCACTATATTTTTATATGATGCTGTTTTGCTCAGAGGATTTTAAAGTAATAGCAAAAATGTAAACTGGACCAAGGTGCAGCTTTAATGCTGAATTACACTCACTGTGATAAAATTGATGATTCAGTACAAATCACATACTACGATTTACAATCTGGTAACTGGGAGCTATGATTCTTCCCATTCAACTCCTGTTAACCTTGCAAACCAAGCTGGACAAGAAATATTTACCATTGCTTTGCAGCAGTACCCTCAATGCATACCCTGGAAACCCAAGCTTTGGCTCTTGCCAACCTAGGCCTAGGCTCTCCAGGTCTAGGCAAAACTAGAGAGAGAGAACCCCATACAAGTTAATGCATTTATGGAACTACGAGTACCTTAAAACATGCTGATGGGTTTCTGGGTATGTTCGACTCCAGGCTTACCAAAAGAAGACAGAGTGGTAAAAAACCAAAAAAAGTTACTTTGCATCATGCAAAAAAAAAGTACAGTCCATGAAGAAAGCAATCTTATTTTGAAAGAGTTTGCATTTATACCACGTCAGGAGACTGCTATCCAAACCAATACTCTACTTCAGTCTGACAAGCAATCAAAGGTTCGAATCAAGTTTGAAACTGAAGAGTAACTGCACAAAAATGTGGGGCACTGGCACATCTGAACTATAACAAATCACTGGTTATGGAAGACTGGGCATAAATTTTGTAAACACTGTATTTTACTCCGATTATCTTCAGCCCAAAAACATGCATACAAATATCTCACAGCTGATTCAAACCAGAATCCAAAGTCATGAATAAAAAAGTTTGACAAACCATACACAGCAATTGGCTCGCTCTAGGTATTATGTTCAGAGTATGAGCTCAGCAACATGCTTTGAAAGCTGATGTCCTGAATTGAACGCAATCTCTCCATACATACAATTGTATGAGAGACCTCATTCTGGAAACAAGCCATATATTCCTGAATATTTCCCCAAGCTCTTGGAGACATTACCCAACTTGAAAGGCGCTATATATATGCAAGTCATTATTGTTGTTATTAAGCATTGTCAAGGCATTTAAGTGTGTGGCACTATCACTGACGTAATTTCATAGACTGAATCATTATTTGTGTATTCAAAGCAACAAATGTATGTAAAGCATGCCTATGTGCTTGGATTTTTATCCATGTTTATTTGAATACTTACGCTGAACAGCAAAAGATAAGACATCTTTTATTTTACTTCTGTGAATTATTAGATTATCTGTGAAAGTGTAATGCTGTTTGTAAAATATAGTACTGAGATAAAAATTAAATTAAATTAAATTCAGCTTTATTGAAAGTGATTTGTCAGATGGTCTATGCCTTACATCTGGCCAGAGCATCAAATCATGATTCCTTCCTTCACTTCTGCAAAGCTGCAGCCACTTACCATCAGAGCATGGCTTTTACTTCAGTAAATAAGATTTACTACAAAATATATTCGCCTTCAAATTACATAGTCGCTATATTTTACAGTAAATCCTGTGAAACTCTTTGAGATGCCCTCCCAACGTGAAAGGCGCTGTATCAAATACAAGGATTATTATTTATTATTTAACATAATACAGGTACTTTCCAACAGCACAAAAAACAATTTCTCGGTGTAAATGTAGCCGCAGTGAATTGAAGAACGAGTTTAAAACCTCTGCTGTGCAGTTAGTACGTGAATGTAATTAGGAGAGAAACTACAGCTAATCAGCTGTGAATGGTATCCATTAATTACAATATCCCCTGGAGAAATAAGAAAGTCGGGAACAATGTTAACATCGACGAGCATTGACGAGAGTTAGAAGCCATTTGATAAAACAGGTGGCTTGATCGGTGTGTGGAATATGAGGAAACCCTTCACCTGAAACAAGGCCTGTCTTGAACAATCGGTCATTGTCTAAAGCAGAAAAGCCAGTGAAGCTATAACAACTCAGAATGCCCTTCGACCTCAGAAGCAATCCCAGAGAACACCCACATTTCTGGAATTACAGTTTAACCCATCAGTTTATGAGTGGTGGGAAAATATACTCCCAACAGACATAATTACAGACCTGCGCTAATTTATTTTTTGAAAGCAAAAATCAGACTTCTAAATTATAATGTTTCCACAGGAGAAAATACAGTTGGTTGGATTGTGCTCAAATGACCGGCAAATAATTGCCAGGCCTGGCAAGGACAAAGGCTGATAGGGACATCAATTAGGAACGAACAGCCAGTTATTTTTTATAATAATTTTTTCATCATGTTCGCAGTCTGCCTGATTGAATGAAATGCCAAATTAAATTAACAGAGATTGCTAAGCCTGACATGCTGGTGGGGAATCGTGCAGAAACTGGGTCAATGCAGACAATACACTGTCTGTAATTAAAAGGTGAGAAACCCGGCCAGTGCTACTTCAACTCGATTAGTCCAAACAAAGTGGTGCATAAAGCAATGTGCACCAAAAAGCTTTTGGCGATGGCAGGCAGTCTAAGTCATTGGACTTATTCAGAAACAAAAGCTCGGTCCATCAGGTGTACTGTTGAGACTTAATACAATACTGAATGTCAAATGTTGCCTTGTTTTAGAGCTGTACACTAAATCCAGTGGTACAACACAATGTAAATGCCTATCTACAATTGATCAACTCGCTGAAAACATAAAATGGGATTACACAAAAGCTTCAGCTCAGCAGGTTGGTTTAACACACATCTGGCACATTGCGATTTACATTATCGAACACCAGCAAATCCTTTGTGTTCCACGGCTACACATCAAGAAGGAGTCGCAGATAATTCAAACACTTTCATTGTTTGGAAAATTTGAGTGGGTTACTTTTTGAGTTAGGAAACATGAAATATTGAATGTTGAAATATTGAAATATTATGTTGAATGTTTTTTGAAAAACACATCCATCCTTTATTTTTCAAGTAACGTTTCCACCTTAGAGATGGTACAGAATATATTAGCGATCTTGTTGGTAACCTGCTCCTTATCTCTGCTGATACCATCATTATTCACCATGCACTGGGAGTTGCTTTAGGTACACCTGGATGGATGGAACCTACTGGATTTTCTGCCATTCTTGTGGGAACCATCTACGTCCACTCACTGTCTCTTCAGGGAGCTCATCCAAGATCGTAAACCTGCTAAAGGGGGATATTG